CCTCACGCACCTCCCAAGACCGCCGCTGCCCTGCCCGCTGGGGCTCTGGCCACTGCTCCTTTTCCCAGCACAGCCCGTCTGAATGGAGCCCGGAGAGGTGGCCGGTGCTGCCCCAGCCCTGGTCACTGTGGCCGCAGGGCTGGCACTCACCTGGCCGGCTCCAGCCCCGCCCGCTGCACTCTCCCCTCAGGATCTGGCCCGGCCCCAGGGCCCGGCCTCCGCCGCGCCGCCTGTGGAGCGGCCCCGCTGGGCCGGGCAGTGACCGGCATGTGTGTCCACCTTGATGGGCTCGCCCCTCCTGCCCGAGCCATCTGACTTCTCCCCAGGAGGGCTCTGTCCAAAACCAGCGCTGCCAGGCGGGGCGAGCGGTGGGAGCGGCCATCTGCTGGGCTGGCGGGGAGCCCGCAGGCCGGCCAGAAGCCCAGCGCCCACGGGCCTGCCCGCGACGCCAGGGGGTGGGAAGGCGGGGATAGGTCAGAGATGGTCGCAGGCGGGACTGTGGACGCCAGCCCCGGCCCCCAGCCCCGCACGCCAGGGCTGCCCGGGCGCAGCTGGCTCATTGCCCTGCGCATCCCACAGGGCCCTGCCTGGACAGCAGCTCCGGGCTGTCCTCAGGCCTGCGGGGGGAGGGGCATGCGGCCTGAGAGAAAGCGGCTTTGTGGGGTGTGGGGGTGAGGAATGTCCGCGGGTGCCTGCTCCCGGCGGCCGCAGTCCTGGGCTCCCACGCTGGGTGGGGGGGCACAGAGGCTGGGTGCTGCTGGCCCCAGCAGCCCGTCCCTGGGAGGCTCCGCCCCCGCCTGACTCGGGTCCCCCAGGGGAGCACAGTCTGCACTCTGAGCCCCGCCTGCCCCTGCCCCTGACCTGCGGAGGGGGGAGCCCAGCGGGGTGCAGCAGGGCCCCTGGGGCAGAGCAGGGCTCTGCTCCCGCCTGCAGGGGGAGGGGCGTCCGAGGGGCGGGGCTTCTGTGAGGGGCGGGGCGTCTGAAGGGGCGGGGCAGATGCCTCGGGCTGACGCGGGGTTCGGTTGGTCAGGCAGACTTGGCGCGTTCGCATACCCTGCCCACTTCATGGCCCGGCGGGCGCCCGCCAGGGCAGGGGCCCGGGCTGACCTGAGCCCTGCGGCTGCTGGC